GATCTCATTAGCTTGAAGACAAGATCAAGTGACGAGAATTTGGTCATTGGAATTTTCTAAAGAGGAGCAACGGCATACTGTGATACTACACCTATTAGTGAATAAAGGTTAAAATAACGGACTTAGAGGTATTACCTTATGTTCGAAATGATTTATTCAATGTGCACAAAATTTTCAAAAAAAAGGATAAATACTAAGATGGTTTTCAACATTAAGCTTTCCAATAAAATTTTTTGCAATACATTTGCATTATTCATACATTTGCATTGGGGCAAATAAGCGCGTCTTACCCTTAGCATTTGTCACAAAAGGAAGTCTCATAAATTGAGGCAAACAAAGGTTCAAACCTTTACATTGCAAATCATCCATCCATGGTATATTGTACATATTTCAGCACTTACAAAAATCATACACGACGCATTACCACATTGTAGAAACACGCCGCATTTGGATTGGGGCAAAACAACATATAAAAAGAAACAAAAAAACAAACAAACAAACAACAACAACAACAACAACAAAATTTTAGGAAGTGAGAGAAGAAATAACAAACCTCACCTGTGAGTTTCTCATATCTTCCACGTGAAATAAAACCTATTCTCACCCCCTAAAAGCCCTGTAATGGCAGGCACCCCAAGCCCTGTCACGGTAGGCAACTCAAAGCCCAGTACCGGCTGGCACGATTCCTTAAAGCCCTGTAACGGCAGGCCCCTAAAGCCCTGTTACGGCAGGCACTCCAAAGCCCAGTACCGGCTAGCACGATTCTTTAAAGCCCTGTAACGGCAGGCACCCCTAAAGCCTTGTTACGGCAGGCACTCTAAAGCCCAGTACCGGCTGGCATGATCCTTTAAAGCCCTGTAACGGCAGGCACCCCTAAAGCCCTGTTACGGCAGGCACTCCAAAGCCCAGTACCGGCTGGCATGATCCTTTAAAGCCCTGTAACGGCAAGCACCCCAAAGCCCTGTCACGGCAGGTAACCTAAAAGCCCAGTACCGGCTGGCACAATTCTTTAAAAGCCCTGTTACGGCAGGCACCCTAAAGCCCAGTACCGGCTGGCACGATTCTTTAAAAGCCCTATCACGGCAGGCACCACAAAGCCCAGTATCGGCTGGCACAATTCTTTAAAGCCCTGTCACGGCAGGCACCACAAAGCCCAGTATCGGCTGGCACAATTCTTTAAAAGCCCTGTCACGGCAGGCACCACAAAGCCCAGTATCGGCTGGCACAATTCTTTAAAGCCCTGTCACGGCAGGCATCCTCCAAGCCTTGTAAAAGCAGGCATCCACCAGGTCCTTTGGAACATAGGCAATTCATCTCCATTGAGGTTTTGTTTTGTTTAGTTCGTAAATCACATTTCATTTTAAACCCTTTCTTTTATTTTGTTTTGTTTTGTTTAGTTGTAGATGCCTAAGAGTCTTGCCCCTCCTAACAAAATACATTTTCTCTCTTCATTCATTTCTAAGATAAGAATATCATCTCATGAAATTCTCACTTAGAAATCAAATGAAGAGGGGGCATCTAGTCAACATATATTTGTTTGGATCGTTGTCATTTGATTATTTTCATTCACATCACATTGCTAAAACAAAAAAATTATTATGCTATAGTGTTTGTTATCCAACAATCTTGCATCATTTAGTCATTCTGATCACATTACTAAAACAAAAAAAAATCAAATAAAAAATTCAAATAAAAAAAAATCATTTTACTGTGTTTGTTATCCAATAGTCTTGCATTGTATTTGGATCTTTGTCATTTGATTATTTTCATTCACATCACATTGCTAAAAATCAAAAATCATGTCACTGTGTTTGTTATGCGATAGTCTCGCATTTAATCATATCTTGTCGTGTCAGGGGCAATTAGGTCTTTTCATAGGTATTGCATGGCCGACCAAAATACATGTTTTATCTTTACTTGTCACTTATGTAAGAATTCAAAAAACACACTTTTTCATATACTTACATAAGAAACAAGTAAAGAGGGGCAACTGTGAACACCGTATTTTGTCCGGGCATTTTTTAAAAATAATAATAAATAACCAAAAAATATATAAAATACAAAAAATTTTAATCCTTTTTAGGAAAATAATAATAATAATAATAATCATCATCATCATCTAACAAAAAATCCTCTCTCCTTTTACCTTAGATAACCCTTCTCTTAAAAGAAAATTAATTAAAAAAAATACTATGAGATATCTTAATAATAGATTGAATAATAAAATAAAATAAAGTAAAGAGGTAGTATCATGTGCATGCCAATTTGAACTGCACAGCTTCAGCAACAAAAACACAGCAGACATGAAACAGAAAAAAAAGAAGGAAAACGAGAGAGAGAACAGTCAGCCACGCATGCACGAAGAGAACGCCGGAAAAACGCACGAGCAGACGCAGAAAAAAGGAACTTTCAGCCATGCAGAGAAACCAGAACACGTCAACACACAGCCACAGCTACACAGAGAAAAATGCAGAAAAAAAACAAGCAGAGACGCACAATGAAAGGAAATAGAAACATGCACGTACATGAGAAAGCAGAAAGAAAAACACAGCGCCAACACATACGAAACACACACAGAAAAAGTAGAGGCATGGACACGACAGAAGAAAGAGGGAAGCAGAAAGGCAGCACCCACACGCAAAGAAAAAGAAGAGCCATGCAGAAATGAAAACAGAGCAGAGAGCTTTCGGCGCACGCAGAAAATGCAGCGGAAGAGAAGGGAAAAAGGAAGAAGTAGAGAAAGGGAGTAATCATTCAGCTCTTCCATCCTCTATATAAGGAGTGACAGGGCTGGGAGAAAAGAGGAGGAGACGGAGGAGGTGAAACAGAAAAAGAAAGACCCGAGAGGACTGAAAACAAAAAACAGAGACAGAGGAGAGAGTCCGGGAGAGGAAGAGAAGAGAGAAAGAAAATAGAGCAGAGAAGAAGCAGCAAAAAAGGAGAGGAAAAATGGAGAAACGAGGCGAGAAAAACTGGAAGAAGGAGATCAGAAGTAAAAACAGAGCATAGGAGAACTGAGAGAGAGCACGAGGACGAACGAAGACTGGAGACGAAAAGAATAACAGAGCAACTGGAGAGAGAGAGAAAGTGTGGAAGGAAAGGGAGAGAATCACCTAAAGCTCTTCGTCGCTCATCATCTTTCTCTCCTCCTTCATCCGCGTGAACATTTACCGCTGCTTCGTCAAACTCACACCTTCTTCATCCCTCGCCGTTTCCTCTCAATTTGCAGGGGCTACTGCCATCACTGACGGTGCACTTCGTTCTCCTCTGTGTCTTCATCTCCTCTTCCTTTCTCAGTTACGGGCATCGCGGGAACGTGTGTAAGGTTAGTTCACACCTTATTAATTGCTTCTATGAATTTTATATCCAGATGAATAAGTCTCGAATATACGTATTTATTTTTATGCTCATATGCTAAGCACATATATATTTTTTTTTAAAACTTAAAGCAGGAGATTTTGAGAATTTTTACAGGCATTTAAAATGATCTCATACCATAAAGATCAATAAGATTTTACAAGTATGAGAATCAATTTTGTAGATACTTATACGGGTTCTAAAGGCCCATTATTAAAATTAACTCTCTCTTTATACTAAATATTTAAGTTCCATGTGAGATTTTAAGAATCTTCGTAGGAACTTAAATTAGTCACATTATTATGTGGGACAGTAAGTCCTCGTAGATATAGTGATTTTCAATTTTTGTAATAAATAAGTAATTTTTGCAAATAATCATATAATATACAATTTAAGAAACTTAATTAACCAAATTAAATGTATTTAAATTGTAACCATATTTACCAATTATATCTTTTAGCCACGTGAAATTTTTGAATCTCCGTAGGCTTCTAAGATCATTGTATTATCGTGTGAGTCAATAAGACTCTGCGGATATAACGATTTAGTTTTTAAAATATATATACATATATATTATATAATTAATTAAATCAATTAATTAAATTTAATTCCTGTCTCGTGTGAGATTTTAGAATCTCCGTAGATATTTAGGATAATCATATTACCGTATAAGTCAATAAGGCTTTGCAGGTATGATGATTAAAATTCTTCAAAACATGTATATACATACTTAAAATATATTTTTGATACTTAAAATGTACATAAGAATATAAATAAATAAATTGAATTGCCAAACTCTTCTATCATGTGAGATTTCAGAATCTTCGCAGATACTTAGAGCAATTGCATTACCGTATGAATCAATAAGGTTCTACAGGTACTGCAATTAAATTTCTAATCATAAAATATAAAGAAAAATAATTTTAAACCCTTTCATTTCTTTATTCAAAATTCAAAAATTGAGAAAATAATTAAAATTAAATTACCTTTTGCAATTTAAAACACACATATCAAAATTTCAGAAATTGTTTTATTTACAAAATGGTGAGTTATTTCTAATTAATTTCTCTTCAAAAAATATTTTTACCGACAAACTTTTAAGCCCGAACTACGCGGACTTTGATCCCCATCACAGGGTACGTAGGCCTCAGAGTCAGATTCTGAGTCAAGTCCGTCCTCCCTCGTAAATAAATAAACATTTCTCACTTAATTCTCATCATTTTTAAAACACATGAATACAAAAGGGATAATTAAAATAATTATAAAACCATATTAAAAGAGCACAACAAACTTCAGGTAACCGTTCTCACGAACGGGTGTTGTGGGGTGCCTAACACCTTCCCCACACTCAACCGACTCCCGAAACTATTCTCTGATTTCGCAGATCACCCTTATCTTCCATTAATCGGTTTCCCGAGATTTCCCTCAAAATCTTGGTGGCGACTCCTCGTTCGATCCGGTTCCCGCCGCGAAGGCCGGGACCTCCGCTCACGCGCCGTCCGCGTCGCATTTTTTTCGGGTGCGACACTTTCATTTTCACAAATATTGATCCACAGGTTTCCATCTGTAATGTTGTGGATTCTTCTGGACTTGACTGCACAACGAGGCAAGACACTACTCTCCAGACTATCTACCTTCTCCGTTCATAGAAGGGACTGGGAGTCTCTTTCTTGCAATCCTGAGTTGTACTTGCTGAGATCGCAGTCAAACGGGACATCATTGCCAATCACATCATAGAATATCCCACCTAACTTGACATCACCCGTCAGCTGCTGTAAATCCCTTGTTTCTTCTCCATCAGTTTCATCCCCAGATATATTTGGGTTCCGTTTGAGTAGTTCTCTGAATATTGAAGATCGAAAAAGAAGGTCAAGGGCACTGGGAGAAGATGTCTTATTGTTACTGCTCGAGATTAAAGGGGTTTTACTTTCAAGGAAATCTTGCGTGCAAGGGGAGTTCAGGTAATCTGTGACAGAATCACTATGAAGGGTCATGGATTTCTTCTCCTCTTTTGGGGTGCAGATAGACGGGGATGTCCCTGCCTGAGCCTCTGTTACGACCTGGGATTCAGGTGTTGCTTCTTGGATGTTTTCTCTGGTAGGCTTCAACCATCTTATGTAAGTACTCAAATCGAAGTTTGTCACAGCATGGATCCCTCTGTACTCGATGGCTGCTATGTCATAAGCACGAGCTGCTTCCTCTTGGGTGCCTGTAATGCAGAAGATGCATAACTTTGGTTAGCAGATTTATGTGGAAGCTAATGAATCAAAAAGGCATTGCTTATATTTTTCCTACAATGCGTTTCTGTCTCGTGTTGCATGTTCTGTGTAGTTTTGCAGTCCTTTCTATAATGGATTCTGGAAATAACTTACTGTAAGTGCCAAGGTAGAGGTATTTGTTTCCAAACACTCTTCCTATCCTTGCTTCCCATCTATCATTGTGGTGATGCCTGCATTATATCTGAAGTGTTAGTGATTCATCTTCATCAATGATAAATCAGAAGCTGATTCATCTCATCATATTCATCAAGAATATATTACCTTGCTACGCCTCTGTACTTAGATACGCCCCTTGAGAAGCCACTGCTCTTTCTGTTAAAGAAAAACCAGAAATTTTTAGCAGCGAAGTAACCTGGGGAGTGCACCCGGAGTAAAAGGAATGATAACATCACGACTGGAGACAGGATAGCACGTCCTACCTTCTTAAAGTAGCCAAGTACTCCTCTTTGGTCATGGTCTCCATTATCTCCATCTCTTGCTGATAATCTGATATCTGTTTTTTGTACAAGGAGCATTAAATGAAATCATCTACTTCTAAGCACAATATACAGGGCCAATATCTATCAAAGGTGATGATTAATACCGGAAAATTGGTGAAAGTTGTTGTTCCCCAGTACTTAAGTGCAGCTAAATCGTACGCTCTTGCTGCTGATTCTTCTTCATCGTAAGCCCCTGTCACACATGAAAAATATTGTCATCTTCGGATTGACTAACACATCATTCAAGCAAACCTTCACTTGATAGCCTAAGATACTCACCGAGGTAAACTGTTATACCCAAATACCAATTCCCATTCACGTTCCGGAAAAAAATGGAGGAAAGACACGAAATGCGTTAGAAAAGATGAACAAATAAATAGTGAGGAAAAGTTAGAGAAGTTCCCCTGTTTAGTTTTCAAAAACCAAAAGATGAAGAAAGAACTCTACCTTGCTTCCCTTTTTTCTTCTGTGTTATGTTCCAAGAGAGCTTGTCCCACAGGTGAGCTTCAAATCGACCAGTCCATCTATGTCTGTTTGACAACAGTTCAGATTAGTAACTTAAAACAGAAGCAAGAACTGTAAGAGTTACTTGAAAACCTTTTTATGACCTGCTTACACCACGAAATCTTGAACTTCTTTTCACAGTGCTGGTACTTAAATTTTGATCACCCTGTAGCTGTGGCTGCAGCTGCTGTTGCTTCTGATCACTTGGAGCATCATTGTTATTAATAGCAGCCGCACAAGACTCTCTTCGCCGTCTCTTGACATAACGGGTTCCTTGGAACTGATCTTCTTCCATGAGTTGGCTCCTTTTGCTCTCTTCACTTTTCATCATCATCATCGTCGTCTCCATCTCTTGTAATTTTCTCTCAGTTCTATCTTTCTCCTTCTGTATTGCTTGACTTAGAAATGGTTTGTATTCTTATAGGATGTGCATCTCTGTTGGCTCTAATATGTTTTTTTTTCTTATTCTTATGAGTTTGATTGGGGTTAGAAACAAGAGGCTCGATAATATCGGGGATATCGAGTACAACTTTCAGTTGTGCTATCTGCCAGCCAAAATTTTATATATTTATTTTAATTGCAATTTACTTCATATTTGGTTGTAAGGTCAAAGAACTCCATTTGCCATCTTAATTTATAAGAGGTCTCATAGTCTGAAGCCAACCCAAAATATGAAAATAAAAATAAATTCATATATGTTTTATAGGCTATCTGTAAGCCCATGCGGTTTTTTATTCATTAACAGCAACTTAGAATTGTGATTTGTACCACAGAACGGAAAGAAATCAAGATTATTTTACAAGATGTAGCACAAACCAAAGGTGTAGCACAAACAATGTCTTATGGGAGTGGTTACTGGAACCAAAAGCAATACGAAGATTAAGATGGCAATATCACTATGCAACCAACATCCAATTATCAGATAACTTTAAATTAAACTTACAAGTTTGCCATGGTTCTAGTTAAATGTTTTGACGGAACATATTCAAGAGGAAATCCCGAAATGTATGCTCTTCGCGGATGATATAGTTCTTATAGCAGAGACAAGAGAAGAGGTTAATTGCAAACTTGAGTTATGGAGGAGGACATTGGAGTCGAAAGGTTTTCGTCTGAGTAGAAGTAAGACGGAATATTTATATTATAAATTTGGTAAAGGACTATTCGAAAATAATTTGAAAGTGAAATTGGGAGATCAAATTATACCTCAAGTGAAAAAGTTTAGATATTTGGGAGCCATTATTCAAAATGATGGCGAAATCAGTGGAGATATTTCACATAGAATTCAAGCTGGGTGGTTTAATTGGAGAAAAGCTAAAGGAGTTATTTATGACCGTAAGGTGCCTAATAAACTTAAAGGAAAGTTTTATCGTACTGCTATCAGACCGGCAATGTTATATAGTAGTGAATGCTGGGCTCTAACGGGACAGCAAGAGCATAAAGTTGAAGTAGCAGAGATGAGAATGTTACGATGGATGTGCGGACATACACGTAAAGATAAAATTCGAAATGAGCACATACGTGAAAAAGTGAGGGTGGCACCTATTGAGGAAAAAATGGTAGAAAATCGGTTGAGATGGTTTGGGCATGTACAAAGAAGACCAAGGGAGGCACCGGTGAGAAAAGTGGAACATATAACTTTGAGTCCGATTAAGAGAGGTAGAGGAAGGCCTAAGAGAACACTCTTGGAAGTTGTTGAACGTAATCTCTTAATTAATAATATTTCTAAAAGCTTAATAAATGATAAAGCACAATGACGTCTTGCAATCCATGTAGCTGATCCCATCTAGTGGGATAAAGGCTTGTTGTTGTTGTTGTCGTCGTCGTCGTCTCTAAGTAGTTGTGATGCGTATCAGATTAGTCTTCTCATAGCGGTGTTCATTTGGTGAAATATGGTTTCTCTCTGTAATATATGTTTGGTAGGAGAAAGAAAAACTACAAGGGTGGGGCCAAGAAAGAAGTTCCAAAAGTGAATTTAAGAGTTAAGACGTTGATGAAAACCTGGGCATGTTTGACTTGTCGCAGACAGGAATGATCCAGAACACTTTCTGCATTTTTAAGAAAGATGAATCAGGGGCCCTTTTTTTTCCCTTTTTTGTTTTTTTCTCATAAGAAAATAACAAGAAAACCTAAATGAGTATATCCTTTTGTGCAGGTGTGGTTTATTGGATTCATCACCACACCTACAGTGAATTGTTTGTTTATTTCACTTTGAATGGGTTTATATTCTGATAGCCAATTAGAATCTTGCTGGAAGCGGAGTAGAATTTTCTTCCCCTACGGTAGCTCCGATCGTTGATGTATCCTATGTATTTAACAGTAGATAATTCATTCAGCCTGTCCACATTCTACTTACCAGCTGGGAATTTGGCTCTTTCCTAGCATGTCTTTTGCCTTGCATTTGGGTTAACCCAGTTGACAGTTTTCTATGTACTGATTAAACTTCTAGACCTGATTTTCCTGGTTCTGAACATTTTGAAATTTGTTTGTAATATTGACAGGAAACTTAACGGATTCGATGTATTTGCATCATCAAGTCCAAGATGAACTGTATTATTCCCGGCTTGTGAATAGTGTGACTCTATAATTTTTATATTTTATATTGAGGATTGATGATTTTGGGTGAAAGCGTGAGCCTTCTGAAGTGTAGGACTTAAAAATGACTTCTACATGAAAATCTGTTTGCCATGCGAGCTTGTCTGTATGTGTGCGTTTTATTCTCCATTAGTTCTAAAGGAACTCTCAAGCTTGATTCACGATCTTGTCTCAATAGTCCTTTAAGTATGAAACGCAGCTACTTTGGATGGATTAACCATTGTAGATTTAGACGTGTACATAATCAATTAACCAACATGTATATGAATAATCTTCACAGGCGGTTGTTTGATTTCATCTGGTTATTGTTGGTAACTTTCCTGTTGCTTTCTGGGTGTATGTAACTCGGAAGACAGGATCTAACCATGAGTTGACTTGCCAGTTTGACTCATCCGTACGAATGACTTAGACTCCGATGATCATCAATGGCTTGAATATTAGACTGTAGTAGTTTGCTCCAACAATTTTTCTTTTGGCCTTTCTTGATTCACTCATCTGCATCTTGTTTTCTTTTCTACTTCGCTGATTGCGCGCTTTCTTATTCAGGATAGGAAGTAAACCTCTATTTTATATTTTAGCTTGTATAATTTGGATGAGAGTTACGAAAATTTTGTTTTTGGGATTTATTTCATTTCTAAAACATATTTTCCAGCCCAACAATGGTTCCTGTAAATATTTGGCCCAATAGTAAGATAAAACTAATTTTCCGAAAGTCAATGACTTCTAAAATCATTTTCATAATTAAAATATTTGTATTTATCGCAGTAAATCTTTTACTTAATTTCTAAGAATAACACTCACACGCATTATCAAGGTCTAGTCTCGGACAAACTTGGTAGATGAATCGTAACTATTGCACTTAACCTGCATTATATATCTACTAAACAAATGACTATTTTCCTCCTAATTAAATTGCCTCATAAACAAATATGTGGCTTAATTAAAGAGACTTTTGGTGGAGGAAGCAAATTACGAGGTACATAAATGTTAATAATTTTGGAATGAAAAGTGCTAATATAATACTAGCACATGACGGCGTCTATTTGAAATGTTGAATCAAGGAAAAAAGGAAAGAAAAAAATGGGGAAAAAACGAAGAAGAAGAAGAAAGAAGAAATATAAGATGGAGTGGAAGCCAGAACATTTTGTGAATCTCGCTGGCTCTCCTGGCCACAAAGAATTCGTCAGCGTACAGAGACCATAAGCTCTATAAAGCTGCAGAATTAAGCAGCAGCAAGCAAATGATAGAATATAATCACAGACATGATTGAAATCTAGCAAGGCTTTCCCACTCGGCAATTGAGGGCACCACTAAACCTGGTCAGCCTCGTCACAAACGATCCATCTCTGGGTTTGATCATCGCGTCTTTTCCGTATGACTGAGCCAATATGTGCGCTCCTGACTGAAGAAACGTCGCTCCGTTCATGAACAAGTCCATTTCCGACGTCCACCTCCACTGGCTATATTGCTGCGGCGTCGCGTACTCCCTGTGCGTTATCTCCTTCGCCGCGTTGTCGTTCGGAGCAATGAATCGGTTTCCCTGGCTCAGTATCGTCGGGGCGGAGCTCCCACCTATGGCGTACATGAGCCAGTGAGTGTAGTCGTTGTTCAGTACGTGCACGAATCCCCATCTCGCCCTCGGCATCCTCTGTATCAGTCCCTGCCCGAAATGGTTGAACGCCACCGTAACCTGCATCATCTTGTCCCCTGTGAACACATCGCTTGCTCCTAACAGCATCACCTGCAAGCACGCACGCACAGGCATCATCTACTGGTTGAATTTCATATACTACTCTCTCATGTATGCAAGGATATTAATATGTTACGTCGTTGTGATTGGTCATGTGGCAGTTGGAGATGGTGACGCCGGTTGAGCCTTGGATGACGTCGACGAGGCCATCGGCGGCTCTGGACATTGAAACATGATCGATCCAGATGTTGGAGGAGCCGAAGATGGAGATGGCGTCTCCGTCGCTCCTGGTTCTCGTACCGACGTGGTGAGCGGAGTCCCTAATGAGACCGCCCTGCTTGGGCACGACGTTGTGGATTCGAATATTGTGGATGATGACGTTGGTGACCATGAACAAGGATATGCTAGCGCCTTTGGTGATCTGGACGTTGGCTCCACGACCATCGATGGTCTTGTGCGAGTTAACCAGCAGTTCCTGTTGCAGAACGATGGTCATGTCGCGTTCGAAGATGATCCACAAGGGTTCGTCCTGGACCGCTCCGAACCGTAATGTTCCGGGCCTCGGGTTCACCAAGTCGTTGTCGGAGGGGTCCGTGACCACATATATCCGGCCGCCTAGTCCTCCGGTGGTCTTCCGGCCAAAACCCTTCACACATCTAGCTAACCTCATGCGATCTGTGGCCCAATCAGGCCTGCACCGCCAGCACCTGTCAATAGGATTTGTGGCCATGCATGGCCCTGCGTACTGGCCCCTTTTCAGTCCCCTCCTGTTGCTTTCCTGTGTCGCTCTGCATCAACATGTGCACAAGGGAACGTGGAATAAACTTTATAACAATGTGTGTGTGTTGTTAAATTGAAGTGTGTATGCATATAAATATCTCCTAGGATATGAAATAGAGAATAGATTTAAACCGAAATAATACAAAAATTTGAATCATAATCTCAACATGGGTCATACATACAAGTGAACGTGGAGATTGAGTTCAGAGGTGACATTAAAAGGGTCGGGCTCGTAGGCTTGAAGGGCGGCTCTACGGGCTTCCTCAGATCGTTTAATGATGTAATCA